GCCCGTACTTCAGTGATTCCTTCAGATTGAAAGTATCCCACGTCATTACTATTAATCTCGATTTGTTTTCGAAATTTAGCAAAAAATTAATTTTTTTCGTTAAGGCTGCCATATTTTCTTTAAAAGCAATAGTCGTAGACATTTTTTACACTATTCTTCTTTACCTCTCCAAAATTTTAGATGATAAATCAGATTTATATTCATCAAAAACCACTACTTCATATGGAAAGAAGCGAATTTTCACCTTTATTTATTTATTTCATATTTATGGCATAAAATCTTTATAAGTTTCAGACTCACCCCAAGACAATGCATGTAGAAGATGTACTCCATCAACCAGGATTAAATACCATCTTTTTATATCTCATTAGCAATGGATCTCTGTTTGCAGATATTGTTAGAACTCTTTTTTTCCTCTGAAGTTTAACTTCTCCAAATGAAATTCCGGCAACCGAAGATAGTAATTTTTTCCGGGCATCTTTTGCTTGGTCACAATTTGTTGTTTCATCAGCGACTAAGCCAGTAGCTATATTGAACAATAAATGTTTTTGAAATATGTATCATTCATTGGATTATGAAACAATAGACGACTAGATTGCTTTGTAGGATCAAATTTATCTCGTAATTGTTTGAATGGCCGAAATTCTATATGTTGCTCCGAGGACAGTGAACTTTTCTTATAGAAAGTTTCCAAGACTTCTGGTCCTTTCATGTTTATGGGCCAAGATCGAATCAGTCATCCCTCGACCTTGTGTAACTCTTGCTACTTTCTTGTATTTCATAAGAGTTTGTTCTATAATCATGTGTGGTTGCCACCATTCTGTCATTCCTCTGAATATTAAAATATCCTTCGTTCAATTTGATGAATCCTACGCTGTCCATTTTTTTCTTTAATTGCTCCATTTTCGAAGATACAAATGGGTGGATTTTGCGTCAAAAATATACATGGGCTCGCGGACGCACTCAGAAACATACGCATACACACACAATATATATATAAATACAAAGAAGACATTGTTATGAAGGTAACCATATCCAAGCAGTTACCTCAATAGAGATATAATGGAGTGAAATGGGAGAGGGATGATAAAATTCTAAGATGGAATGGTATCATGATTAAAATTCTGTTGCCACTTAATTCCACAAGGAATTAAATTAAACTCTTTCTATTTTTCATAGTTCCATAGTTATGAGACGAAATAAAGTGGTTTTCTAGGAGGAGACGGTATGAAAAAAGTTGTCCTGTAAAATTAGTCTAAATTTACAGGGCTAAGAACATACAAAATAAGTGGATGAGGTACGAGAATTAGTAATTCCATTCTACCAACGTTTAAAATTGTTCGGTCATTTGTCGCATGTGTATTTGAAGTGTTAGTAGGACTTTTAAAAATAAATTGTGGAGATTTTTCAGATAATGGAACTTCGATGCTGCTATTTAATATTATTTTAAAAACGTATATGCAATATATAGTAGGGGAAACTTTTCGAATCCGAGTGTTCGCCCGAAATACAGAGAGGTCTCCTGAATCAAGAATAAAGCAAGAAATAATTAACAGTAAGAGATAAATAATAATAAGAAATGAAAAAAAAAGTCTGGTAGAAAACGAATTTTGGAAAATAACTGTAGAAATATATATGTATAATACATCGTCGGAGAGATGAAGGTTTTACAAAAAATAGCATCTAACATATACATTCGTAGAACATAATGAATAGTGATGAAAAAATAATGAATAATAATTTGTGAAAACTGATATTATTTAATGGAAACCAAATATTTACATGGAAAATGAAATTTCCTAACATAATGGAAACTTATAAAATTATAGGGTTCTTTGTGAATGTTATGCTTATTTTTTCTGGTAGTTATCATATTTGCTGCATTTATGATATATGATATATAATATGTAATACATTGGAGGTTATAAATCATAAAAAAAAATGAATCATTTTTTGAATTAGTAAGAGGTTAACAAAAAGCGGATGAATAATCACTTCCATTTTGATGAATCTGACAAAAATATCTATCTCACCAAAATTATCGACCGATATAGTCATATATTATTTTCAAGTGATTCGTTGGAGCTAATTTTCCTGTTTTATTTTTTCTTTTCCCTCTGTATACTTTTTTGACTAGGGCTTTAAAAGTTCTACATTTTCTGCATGTTGTATATTTTATTTTCGTAATTCTATTTTAAATATTTTCTCATTTTTGAATTGACGAGAAGTATTATGCGTTAGAAACTAGAATAAAATAATTTATATAACATCAATTCGATATCCCAGTTATTCGGAAAATATTTTCTATAACATTTTCGACGATGGAATATCTTACTGTGATAAAATGAGCTTATCCGGCGTTTAGTTCTAAACATTAAGATTTTAGAAGCTTATTGTTCCAAGCAGAGGCGTCGATGCTTATAATTGGAACAGGATTAAGTGTTTTCCCCATTAATCTGCGTAGAAAGAATTCCATTCACTAGATTCCTGAGGCGAAAAGGATGGAACCTTTTCAAATATTTCAGCAACCACAGTGACTCATCATTTTTTATCACTCATTCCCGGTATTTTAAAAATATATCAATTAGTCTTTAGGTTAATTTGACAGATTCATCATCGACCGTGATGACCTTCGGTGGGTTATGAATCGCCAGTTTTCACCGAAACATTCCCTCCTCTATTTATAAACCTTAAATTTCTTATCCAGAGCTCAAATGGAATTCGGTGTTGAAATTCTTTTGTAATTATTCAGAAAAATATAATGAATGTTAAAACTGTTGTTTGAACTTTTCGTTGTTAAGTCCTGTTACGAGCGTAAAATAAATTTAAAAAAATTCTAGATTTTTTTTATAATAACAAAGTATCTAATATTGATATCTTACAAAACTAATTTTTATTTTATATTTAATTATGTTATGTCTTTTATAGATTACCCTCATCCATTTTAGTTCCTTTTAGACGTTTCATTTATAATTGAATGGATTAATATTTATTGAGATATTTTAAATAATTTTTAGTAATCTTATTTTCTTCTAAATAACAATCGTATTTACCATATATTTCTTATATGGTTATGCTTAATATTTTACAATATCACATATTACATTTATATGAATTAGGGACTTCAAATTTTTTACCAAATTTAAATAAACATTATGTTAATATAAATATCATAAATGTGTTATTTTCGATGTCTCCTCTTTGATTCTTTCTGTTTCTCTTTTTTATTTAGTAAAGCAATTTCTTGTTTCAGGAAATAGTTTGAAAGTTATAAAATATCAATTTTATATGGCTTCCTAGCCATTTTCAAACATTAGAAAAAATATATAAATATTAAGAATTATATAATATTTCATATTTTTGTAAATTGTATTATATTTAAAAAAAATTTAAATATTGAAAGTTTTGTTAAAATCTACTTTTATTATACATGTATATATATATATATATATATATATATATATTAAGTTAAATGAGCTACACTTGTTCATTTACTTTTATAACTATTGAACTGATTAATCCCATAGTTTAATATAACTTCACTTCCTTATCATTTTCTGTAGTCTGCACTTTCCTATTCTAAATATTTGTTTTATTCATATCTGGATTTGGAAAACTTAAAATAGTGATGACTTTTTTTTCTTACAGAAGTATATATCTGAAATTTCCTCTATAAACATCTCTAGAACTTGATTCAATCAATGGTTTTTTCAAGGAGGAAAATAGGAAAATGTAAACTGAAATGTCTGTTCTATTTAAACGAGATTGAGCTTTTACCCCGTAGTATGTATCTGTTTGTTTATACCGAGAGTTCTGGAATGTAGGATTCACCCAATGATAACTTTAAATAGTCCGGATTATATCTCTCCTTCAACCTTTCATCCGAAATGTTTTCGTTTAACAAATTATTGCTATATTTACCGTCAACTTGGCGTTATTTTCGAACCGAATATGTTATAACTAAAGAGGAAATTCTGTTTTTGAAATTTCAAATCATTTCGAAAAGTTTAATTTTTTAAAAAATAGAATTATTATTACAAAATTTTATTTTATTTTTACGTTATTTTACTAATTCTCCTATGACGAGAATTAAAATTTAATGTAACAGTAAATTAAAGTGTAATGTTTAAAATTTCAAGAAAGACAAATTGTATAATTAAAGTTTCGACTGCTCATCTCAGGTACATGATATAGCAGTTTTCTACGATTTTTTTAGGGGTCGACACATTTTATCTCTATCTTACTGTAATAAAAATTGAATTTCGAACCGTTCAATATATAAGAGATTCCTTAATCAATCAAGTGATTTTTTTAATCCTGATATATTGGAATGAATATCAGTTTATATTAGGAATCAGGTTATCAAAGTATTATCACAATTTGATTATTTTTATAACCTTACAAAAATGTGGTCAAATTAGTTGAGGTTATACTATGACTGTGTCTAATACTATACGTCTTTATCCAATCATGATAGTTTCCAATTACCATAAAAAAGGTTCACTGTGTACAGTGAATCATACATTGAGAAAAGATTTATAGTTAGGAGCTTTGAGGCATCCATACGAACTCACGCAGTTCATGTAATTTTTAGCTGATGAAAAGTTCCATGCAATGATATGGATGTCAATTTATTTAGTCGTGCCTGTGAAACAACAGAAAACAATTACAACACTGTTTTCTAAAGCATCCTCACCTAAATATAAATGTCAACAAATTAGCCATATTGTTTTGAGAGTGAACAGTCCAATGTTTGTTTACTCTCCCTACCCTCGCGTTGTTTCACTTGTTCCGATGTTTGTCTCGACAAACGTGGGATCATTTACAAACAGTACGCCAAGATCTGGCGAAGATAGGAGATAGGGATGAGAGGGAACTACTCGAGATTGAGGTTATGTATGATGTAATTGGGCGTTATCGGCCTAAATCGAGATGAGGGGTATTGATGAGTGTTAGCAGTTGCTTGGATGAGTTAGCTGATAGAGGCTGAGATCACTCACTCCGTTAGGCCGATGATCGCCGACGAGGCTTCTCGCCCTGGCCCCTCCCCGCCTCCTGCCATGGGACCCAGTGAACATCATCCTCAAAGCCGACACATGTCCGTTCTAGGGCTCCGCCCGCACTGCGCTATTTCGGGAGTACCCCTACCGCCTTTCTCCCACTTCAGTTCACTATTTGTCCGGCAAAATTCAACAATGGCCTCCTTCCATGATTCCTTAATAGTTGAGTCATATGAAGTTTGCTAATGTTGATACCATCCGTACCTCATTCCGGCCTCTATGTACAAGTACAGCTCACTTCTTATCTTGTTCTTTATCACTTGTTACCATTCTGGTTAAACAAGACATCAAAATATGTAAAATATATATCAATTTACTACTAATTAACAATTCTTCCTATAGAAATGATGATGACATTGAACACAGTTAATAGTGTTACAAGAAGAGGGCTTGTATCATTGGGATTGTATTATCGATCTCCGCTTTTTTATATTTTTAATTTACAAAGTGGTATTTATAGTTTTTGTTTTTGTCTTTAATGATAGTGTTCATTTTACTATGCCAATCCCTTCCACGGCTGTCAGGGGTATTGTCATACTAATTCTGCTTTAAGAGCTGGTGAAAATTTATTGCTGTGGACTGTAAAATTAGAGGAGTTAATGGATTAAAGAAGTGAATATGTAAAATTGATTGCTTTATTTTATAACATTTAATTTGATACAGAGGTTAAATATAGGTGGGTTGGGATACTTGCATTTTCTCTTTTCTTCTATTTGCCAGTCTTCTTGTTCATCTTCCCTCTCTCTTCCTTTCTCGGCCCCTTGTCTGCTGATGTAGTTTTTTACTCCATATTCATCAAAGCAGTGGAATTACGAATATTCAAACTGGCCAGTCTCGTTAATTTGTCACGCTACGTGAGCGTCTACGGTTCAGTAGTGGCGGCGTCACAATAACAACTGAGGTATATACGCAGTATGCTCGAGATAACAGCTGTGTTGTGGTTTCTTGATTTAATTCAAATTGAATTTTTTTTTTTTAACTTTTATTATGATATTTACAACTGTATTAGTATGAATACATCAAGTAAATGTATACAGAGGAATATTATCACATGAAACACCCTTGTTGAGAAACTACCCATTGGTAGCACTCTAATAATTTGTCTACATGAGAAGACCACGAGGCCATCTTCTTTTCAGACGCCTCGGAGGGTTATCAGGAATCGAAGAGGAAGCAAGGTTAGAAACAAGAGGATTCGGATGGTTATGAAGTTTATTATGGAAGGATAGGTATCTGGATTTGGCCAAATCGGAAACATATGGAACATTGAGGTCTTTATGGATTATTTTATTTGTGACAAAGTAAGGAGCATTTAGTATTCGACCATACTAAGGGTCATTTTCAAGTACGTTAGGTTTGCATTACCATCTATTAAGACAATAAAGGCACGTTTAAAAGGTCCGTACTGATATATTCCTGGGTCACGGGGTGGCTTCCCAGTTGTTGTATTTCTTCTTTTCATGCATGACTGCATAACAACACACTACTGCAAGTGAACAGTTTAAAAGTTTTTATCTTCAGCGACTTCAGATCAAGGGTGTCCGTCTTCCGGCAATTTCTTGGTGGTGGTCCTCTTCTATGTGCTCCAATGTTGAAGCTGGCTGAACCCACTGCCTCCTTCCAAACATAAATAAATTTCTTTAAGCGAGGGAAGTTCTCCTTATTACCAACTGAGGAAAGTTTATAGTCTGTTATGACGTAAATGCCCGCGTTTCTCATCATTGTTGCCCTTATTCCTTCGAATGCAGTGCAGGTCGTGACCAGGTTTTCGAAAGGCTCCAGAACTCCACAAGTGGGGCATTGCGGATCTATGTCCTGGCCAAAGCCATGTAGCCTAGCTCGAGGATGTTCTCGTTACTGTCTCCCTAATTCCAATTGCAGGAATAGTATGAAACTCAGACTACCAATTACACAGCTTGCTGCATCTCTGTTAACTGTTTCTTCAGGTTGATCAAGAGGAAGCGCCGCAAATTCTTATGCTTGCAAGTTTCACTGAAAGAAATCTACCACAATTTTTTACTTCATTTCTTAACCCAGGGAATTGTGTGTCAAGTTATAGTAAATTTTGTTGACGCTGTCATCCAGCGGACATAATGGCAGTGGTTTGTGACAAAAAGTAAGTTTATCAGCTTTGGTCGTATGTTAAAAAACAGTTTAACATCATTCAATTTTACTGTTTCAGTCAGTTTTTAATATATCATAATGATATCAATGTATTAAATCCGGAAATGGGCAGTTGAACTGTGTCACCGATACATTTTTCAGTTGAAAACATGTCGTTAAGTCCGGTTTGATGTATTACCATGTTTTATTTTATTTGTATTTATTCATGAGATTTACAACTGTATAAATATAAAAATACATCCAGTAAATGTGCAAACAGTGATAATACAATCACATTAAAACGCTTATTGAGAAACTACCCATTGGTAGCACTCTGATAATATATTTAAATATGTAGATCACGAGGCCAACTTCTTTTCAGACGTCTTGGAGTGTTATCAGGTATCGAAGAGGAAGCAAGATTTGAAACGATAGGGTTTGGATGGATTTGAAGTTTGTTATGGAAGGATAGGTATCTAGATTGGGTTAAATCGGAAACGTGTGATACGTTAAGGTCTTTATGGTATGGATTATTTTATTTGTGACAAAGTAAGGAGCATTGAGGATTTCACGAAGGATTGGATACGAGAGGGATTTGATGGTTTAGTGGATCCCCATAGCTCAACTTCGTAAGTCTAAATAGGTCTTATTATAGTCATGTATATGAATCTTTTGTAATTAATTGGAAGCTTGGAGCGTTTTTCTAGTAACTGTTGGAGTAGTCGGCAACGTAGAGCAGTTTCTTGTCGTTTCATTCTTGTGTGAGGATTCCAAGTGAATCGTTTGTCCAGATGGAATCCTAGATATCGGATTTGTTCAACTGGGATAAGTGAGGAATCGTTGAAGGATACTGTAGGACAAGAAGTTTTACGTCGAAGAGAAAAGCTAAATTGATGGGATTTATTGCATTTTTTTTTATTATTATTTATTTATATGATATTTACAACTGTATACAAAAAATACATCTGGTAAATTCGCACATTGGTATAAAGACATGGAACACATGTTGAGAAACTACCCATTGGTAGCACTCTAATAATATGTCTATATTAGAAGATCACGTGGCCATCTTCTTTTCAGACGCCTCGGAGGGTTATCAGGAATCGAATAGGAAGCAAGGTTAGAGATAAGAGGGTTGGGATGGTTATGAAGTTTATTATGGAAGGACAGATATCTGGATTGGGCCAAATCTGATACATAAGGAACATTAAGGTCATTATGGATAATTTTATTTGTAACAAAGTAAGGAGCATTGAGGATTTTACGAAGGATTTTGGATTGTAAGTATTGTATGCGAGAGGACTTTGAAGGTTTGGTGGAGCCCCATAGCTCAACTCCGTAAGTCCAAATAGGCCTTATTATAGTCATGTAAATCAGTCTTTTATAATTTATTGGAAGGTTAGAGCGTTTGTCTAGTAAGTGTTGAAGTAGTCGGAAACGTCGAGCTGTTTCTTGTCGTTTCAGTATGGTATGAGGATTCCAAGTTAGACGTTTGTCCAGATGGAGTCCTAGGTAACAGATTTGTTCAACAGGAATAAGTGAGGTGTTGTTAAAGGATACTGAAGGACAGGAAGTCATTGGTTTACGACGAAGGGTGAAGGTAATTTGATGGGATTTATTGGAATTTATTTTAATTCTCCATTTCTGACACCATTCTTCAAGGTTTGTGATGTGGGATTGAAGGGTTTGGGATGCAATAGATGGGTCGTTATTAACTGATAGGATACATGTGTCATCAGCATATGTGGTGATGACAGTGTTGGGATGGGTTGGGATGTCAGCTGTATAAACTGTGTAAAGGATAGGACCTAGGATACTACCTTGAGGAACACCTGCAGACTGGGAACACCTGCAGACTGGGATTATTGTAATTTATTTTAATTCTCCATTTTTGACACCATTCTTCGAGGTTTTTATATGTGATTATGGGATGCAATTTGTAATTAACATCAGCATATGTGGTGATAATAGTGTTGGGGTGAGTTGGAATGTCAGCTGTATATACTGTGTAAAGGATAGGACCTAGGATACTACCTTGAGGAAGACCAGCAGACTGAGAGTAAATGGATGAATAGGTATAGTTGTGATTTACTTTGAAATATCTATCAATAAGGTAGGAACGGATAATGAGGAAGTATGTAGGTGGTAGGAATTTCCGGAGTTTGTACATCGATCCAGCATGCCAGACTCTATCAAACGCCTGTTTAACATCGAGGAAGACTCCCGTGCAGTACATTCTGCGCTCCAATGCAAAGAAGGCTACGTTTAGCACACGATGACATTGCTGGGTAGTGGAATGGGATGTGCGGAATTCAAAAGTTGATGTGGGATAATGTAGTTAGAGTAAAGGATGGAACACAGGCGTTTTAAGATGAGTTTTTCAAGGATTTGCCCATGATGGGTAAAATAGAGATAGGACGGTAAGAGGATGGGTATTCTAGTGATTTTTTAGGTTTATGTATCATTTTGACAATGGACAAATTCAAAGGGTCAGAAAAATATGTGGTACTGAATACTGCATTATATATCTAAGTAAGGAATAATATGGCTTTCCAAGGAAGCAATTTTATGATCTGGGGAGTAATGAGATCGTGTCCAGGAGTTTTGCGGGAAGGTAATCTGTTAATGATATTTCTGTAGGATTAAAGGCTTTAGGTGGAAGAGTCATTTGGTGTGGAATATCCAGTTCTGCTTCAATACGTTTGAGTTGATTAGGACTAAGGATATCAGGATGTGGCTGAAAGGTTTTAAAGAGGAGGTAAGCAAATATTTGGGACTTTTCTTCGTCAGATTTGGACCAAGTTTGAAGTTCAGTAAGTAGTGGATGATTATGATCTTTAAATTTTAGGAGCTTCTTAGTGGTAGTCCATAGTGATTTGTCGGTAGTTGTTGTTTTTCGGTAAAAGTTAGTAAATTCAGGATTTTAATTTTTTTTAATTTCTGCTTTTAGTTTGTTA